AAATTAAAAGAAGTATTGCATTAGGAAAGTCTGTTGTCAGAGACCTCTCCAGAGTACTGAAGAGCAATGACATCCACCGAGAGACTAAGGTGCACCTGATACAGGTCACGGTCTTGACAATCATTTGCCATGCATCAAAGAGCTCGACACTGAGTAGGGGAGAGAGAAGGAGAACTGATGCCTCTGAGTTGTGATGTTGGAGAAGAGTATTGAATAAAACATACACTGCTAACAGAATGAATGTGTTCATCCTGGAGAGGATTAAATCAGGCTGCTCCTTGGAGGCAAGAATTCTGAAGCTTTGTCTGACATACTTTGGACATGTTGTAAGGAGGGACCAGTCCTTGGAGAGGGCTATCTTGTTTAGGAGAGTGGAGGGACAGTACAGGAAAGGAAAACCCTCGATGAGACGGACTGATTCAGTGACTGGGGTAATGGGGGTAGGAATGTCAGAGATAATAAAATTGGCACAGGATAGAGCAGGGTTTAGGGCTATTGTATATTGGGTTTTTATCAGTCCCAGGTGACTCAGCAGCATATAACAACAACAATGTATCATTTAGCTTTATTATAAAAGTTTTCCCCAACTGTGGCCCTTTTATTGAAAACTAAATGTTAGATGATGTTAAAGGGTCAAAGAATTGAAAGGCAGTCAGTATCCCTGGAGGCAATTTAGAGCAGTGATTAATGAGGCTGGCTAGGATGCCAAGCAGAGCCTGAGCTCCACCACCTTTGTGTGTGACCTTAGGAAAAGGACTTGCATTCTTGGTGCCTCAGTTTCTTCTTCCATAAAGCAGTGATGAAAAGAACCCACTTCATACAATTGTTCAAAGACTGCAGGAAATACTCAATAAAGGCTCTTAGTGGAGAACCTAGAACTCAGTAAGGAAACTAACAATCTGCGTTAGCTGTTTAGAGGGCTAGTGCTTTCTTCTCTTTCTCCTTCTCCTTTTCCCTCAACTTCTTACGTTGATGTCATTAGTATGTGTTAGGGAGAGAAGAATAGCTCATTTCCACCAAATCCTGAGGCCACCATCCCTTCACACACCCAACTCCCAAAAGCAGAAATGCAAATTTAAAAAGTTTTAAACAGAAAAAAAAAATCAAAGGCTAGATGACATACTCTTACAAATGCACCCACATAATTCAAGGAATCAGCACTGACTACTGTTAACAAACAGGAGAGAAAAAAGAACACAAACAAATGCTAGAATCCTTTGCTCCTGTTAAACAGAGACCTCAGATCTAGGTATATCACATGATACTCGCAAAAAGGGCTGGAGTAGCAACATGTGCAGTTAACCCGAGAACTAGACAAGGCCCGTCTTTGTTTTCAGTTACTTGGGATCAAAGGCTAACGTCTACTTTCTTCCTTTCTTCAAATAGATAGAATTATGAAGAACTGGGATGAGTGGTGTATGAATGACTCCTTCTAATGCAGTAGTAAGTAGCCCTGGTAGCACAATGATCAAGCACATGATTGCTAATTAGAAAGACTGTGAGCTGAACCTATACAATGGTTCTTTTGGGGGAAAAAAGACCTGGCGAGAGTCTTCTGCACAGCGAACGCCCTAGAAAACACTATGGACAGCTCTGCCCTCTCACATGGGATCTCTGTGGGTAGAAAATGACTTGCTGGCACCTACAACCAACCTGTAATTCTGATAGTTTATTCATCAGTCAGAATTAACTTCATGGCACACAACAGTAATTATTGTTGTAACAATAATTCTGTGACTCTGAAGGTTTAGTCAAGCCTGAAGGGGCTTTACTGGGGATGTGGTAAAGTCGGAGCAAGCCCCTTTTTAAGTGGACCATAACAGCCACTGCAAACAGGCGGGACTGTTTTTTTCAGGTATATCCCTCCTTACTGGATGAGGAGACACATACAGGTTGCCAAACAATGTAAACTTCCCGTTCTGGGTGTTAACTTTAGTTACCACAGCCAGACAATGCTGCCAGTGGTGTGGAAGAAAAACCTGCTGTAGCCAGCTGTGCTGTTCACAGTCGGATGGGTTCTGTGTAGCTCCAAATGGTGACGGAGCCAGCAGCCTGTTGTAGCCAAGGACAGGATGATGGATGATCTACACTCTGAGTCCAAGTGGAGAGAATGGCTGAAGTTCACTTCAGGATGGTTAAAATGCTAATCTGGGTGCGTTAACAAAAACCTGATAGAAAAGTTTGGGGGGAAAAGTACACCTCTTGTGGTATCTGTGTGCACCATTGATTTGATCGCCTTTGGTTACACTGGCGGTGCATTTTTTCCAAGTGAGACCACTTAGTAGTTTTCCTGTTGGTAGAAAAGGAAGCAGCTTCAATTGTCAGCGGTACTACTACCATGATTTGTCAGGGTCTGAGGAGGAAAACGCAGCCTGTGGATAGCCACATCAACCAAAAAGCGTTTTGTATACTCAATAAAGTAAGTAATGTGATTTTTACTCTCTCCATGTATCGTGAGAATAAATGAAAACACACACAGAGACAGACATCCCCTCCACCCCAACCTCTCAGCTAAAAGTTAGCAACTATTAAAAAAATAAGCAGCAACTTAAGTCACTGGCTTTGGTATATTTTAAGTTCTCATTCACAAGCATGAGAGGAAGTAAGATCTCTTGCACTAAGGACAGTTTGAATATGTAAATTACACTAACAGTACATTGAATCATTAGTGGTGAAGGCGGGAAGCCTGGCACACTGTAAATAACAGACATCGATTATCTTGCTTTAAAACATCCAGGATAAGACAACATGCTTCAAAAGATAGACACATAATTACATTTCTTGCCAGATTATCTATTTTGTCATTCTGTCTTTTTATTGTTGTTTTGGCATTAAAAATAAAAACCTATCAGAGTCACTTGTGTTTGAACACTGGCAAGCAAAGTTCCTTATATATGAGATATTCAATAAATACTGACATCCTCTAACTCCCTTTTCCTTCCCTATAAAGAAAAAATCTTGAGTGTGCCACCTTAAAACATCTTAATTGAAATAAAAGGTAATACTTTTGCAGGCTAAGGAAGGAGCTCACCTCCTATGGTTACACCAATAACGGTTAGGCAGTCAGCCAGGCTCTTAACTCTGTGGAAAATGCATCAGAAGGGTGAAAAATGACCCATTTCAGATGCATTTTTCACTCTTTGTACCATAGTGAAATTCACATGCAAGAACAATGACTAAGCTAATTATCAAGGTTCATTCTGACGGAGCTGCAAGAAGTGAAGAACTTCCTCAGTTTCAATTAAGTCTTTAATAATCATGGGCATCTTTGCGATTCAAAGCTCTGCTTCCAGTTTCCTTGCCAGTGTGCCTTTCAAGCCATAGAAACCACCAAATCTGATGCAGGGCCCACTTACCCAGTCACAGTTACTGGACAGATCCTTCCTGGGCAGGGACCAAATGAGCAGAGGTGCGCGGGATGTCTAAGTTGCCCTCACACTAAGGACTAACATGTTTACGTCACAGCCGTTTTTCAAAACCATCAAACCAGGGGAGACATGACCAGATGGTGCTATTAGAGGGCACCAAAAAAAGAAGAAGGAGAAGCAGGCAGAATGCCCACAAATCTAAATCAAACTCGCGTTAACCGGCTGTCTGGTGATGGAAGAGTCACCATATTCCTGGCACACTTTCCTGCATCACAGAGATGTTTCTTGCAAAGGTTATCAATGTGGCATCTTCAGCAGAAATAAGGACAAGTAGCAGCGTTCTGTATGAACAAGGAATAAATAGTGGGTGGTGGTTCATCTGAAGTAAATGTGCCAATGGAAGGAATCATCTGCTAAAACAGCACTTCCTGGAAATCTTAACGCTAGCTATCTGACTGTCTTTTTGAGAGTACATTCTAGAGCCTTCTTAAATCAAAGGGCAGACACTATTAAAAACAAACCAAAACAAAACAAAACTCAGCCATGGCTGGCTGACAGTTTCTTTCCCTTAAGATGTGTAAGCTAATGGGGATGTAGACTCAAATCTCAGATTTATCTGGCAATTTCTATTTATCCACGCCAGGGTAAATGTTTATGTAATATCTGCCAGCCTGACAGAATATGCCTGTCACTCACTACATTAAACATGACTACATACAACTTAATTTTCTGACTTAGATACCTAAGAGAGGAGAAATTCTTTAAAAAGGATGAATCAAGCAGCACCAGAACCTACTATTTTAAAAGAATAAACAGAACCCTCTCGCCTCCCCCTGAACTGTCCAGATTCCACAATTCTACAAGAATGAAACCTTGAAAACATCCCTCAAAGAAGCATTTCTCCTTCTCTGAGGTGCAGAACCAAACCAGTATAAAGACATGATAAACCTTTTCTCCGCTAAGAGTTCAGATTGTAAATACTGTATCTGCTTCATTGGTCCACATACTAAGTTAAGGGAAAGACAACTCTTTAAAAAAACTCCCACACTTTTTTCCCCCCTTCACACTGCAACTTTAAAAATCGTAGCAGCCCAAAGTTCTTGGGAAAATTGCCCTAGACACCCCTGCCCCCAAGTAACCGAAAACACTAACGTTATTTTATGGGAAGGCAGCAGAGATAGTAGTATTTACAAGGTCTAATTACTGTTTACTAAAACATTATACATTTACAGCAATAATCTGCTGCTGTCCCTTGTGCGTGAGAGCAGAATGGTTGGGGTGCAGGAGCACACACGACTGGCTGGTCACCTCAGAACAGGGAGCACCCTGACTAGCAATACTGCACCCCAATTTTCTCCCGAGCTCCTTGACATTTAGATTTGTATAACAAGTTCAGGGTTTAAACGATCACCTGATAGCTATGGCCCCGAGAGTCTACTTAGAAATCTTTCCAGCCCAGATCCCGTCTAAACCTCTAAGTCCTTTATGACCTTTCAATTCAATCCACGACTTAATACATAATAGAGGAAGCTTTAAGCCCTTCCAAATTACCCAAAGAGGGATGCTCTATCAGTTTCCGCAAGCCATGAGCAAACCTCATCTCTGTCAAGACGGGAAATAAAGTTTCCCTACCTTCCTCCTCACCATCCCCCTTGTCTGCGGCTGGCTGCCGACACCCGCGGGCGGCTCCCTCTCAGGCCCCGGACGCTTCGAGCCTCGGGAGAAGGGGCTCATGCAAAATTGACTCTTCCTTATTTGTTCCTATCCATAATTGATGGGTAGATGAGAACGTAACACCTCTCAGCGCTGGGCTTTGGCCGCCTGGCGGAGACCCTGTCCAAGACGCTTCCGTAAATCATTTCCAGCCGGAGAACAAAGCACGGAAAGTTGCTGGGGAGAGCGGCTGCTCGAAGCAGCCGGGGCGCCGGGTGGGAGGCGGGGGTGGGCATCGGGCAGCCCCTGGGGCCCTGGGGCCCAGCCGCCTGCGGCCAGCAGGGGGAGAGGGTGGCTGGGAAGTGGCTGCCCTCGAGGCGAGAGCTGGAGCCAGAGGCTGCGGGTGGGGTGGCCGTCACCCGAGCCCCCGCCCCTCCCTTCAGGGGGCTCCCTGGGCGCTGTGCAGCCCGGGGACGCGATGACAGGTAGGCAGCGCCCGCGCTCCACTCGCGGCCAGTCGGCTGCTCTGATCTGGGTGGCCGCGCCGTGTCCTTTCTCCCCCGGGCTGTCGCCCTCCGGCTCCAGGCCGTCCCTGGACGCCCCGCTCCCGGGCACACAGGCAAAAGGGTCGGCGGAGTCTTGCTGCTCTGGCCTTGGCTGTGCTCTCCTACTGTCCAGAGACGCTGGCCTGACACACAGTGAACCCGGGTTCCCCCTGACAATGCGTGGGGCGGGCCAAGCTGGCGCAACCCTGCAAGAAACTTTTACTGGCCCCCCTCCTTTCGCCTTTATTTTGTTTAAATGGAGAAGGGTGCACAGAGGTCGAGGGTCTTCAAGTGCCAGTAACCCCTCCCCCAAGACGCCAGCTTTGCCAGTTTTGACGGGTCGGCAGAACCTCTCCAGTCCTCAGGGTGTCTCTTGCACGGCAGGCGAAGAGACTGTCTTGGAAAAGGAATCAACTCTCCGGTGACACTACACATACAGAGACAGACACACACTCGCAGACTGACACACGCGCGCGCGCACAAGGCTACGATTTCAGGCTCCAAGGATCTGGAGTCCGACCCTCACCGGACGCCAACAACAGCAGCAAATTTTAAGACTGTCTTACCTCATGAGGAGAGGCTGGTTAAAAACAACGATAATAATAAAGGCTTGTCATGCTCACAGGAGGTAAAAGAAAAAATTAAAAATCTGAAGAATATATTCCTCTGTCTCTTTAGGTTTTGGTTTCCTCGATATAATCCTGAAACTCGCCACCACTAGCCCTTGCAGCAGCAGAGGTGGCGGCAGCAGCAACAGCAGCGCCAGCAGCGGGATCGAGCAAGAGCAAAACAAACCGAGGCACGGCAAATGGTGTAATTCGATCCATCCCCAAGTCAATCCATCAGAGGAGCCGAGAGCTTGGTTCCCTCCCCGTACTCGGCAGCTCTCGCTGCGCGGGTCCCACCCCCGGGTGCGGACGGTAGGAGGCGCGGGCGGCCAGGCGCGCTCACCCTTCCCGGTGCGTCGAGGCCAGCGCCGCCTGGAGGCCCCCAGCTCGGCGCCGAGGCCCGCTGACCCCTCGGTGGCCTCCGCGTCCCTCCTCCCCGGCGCTCTGCCGCGCACCCTCCCTCTCCCCGCCACCAAGGAGCTACTCCTTCCAGCAACTCCCAGAGCCTCCTCTTCCAGCTCGCTGGGGCTGCTGCAGCCAACAAAGCTGCTTTTTCCTTCCCTCCTTCTTTACCTATCTTTCTCGTTCCCTCACTTTTTTCAGCGCTTTCCTCCACACATCTAGAGGGAAAATCATTGCAGCTCACAGGAGCTGCAGAAGTAGTTCCAGGAAGTTCTTTCTTGTCCTAGTTTTCTGGTCTTAGATTTGTTTTGTTTAAAGCACATCCTTAAACCCGCCCCCACCTTAGCCCTGATGTGTGTCTACACGCGCGCACACATACACACATCTCTTCATAACCACAAAGCAAAACAGCTGGGAAGAAGCAATCAAACACTGCTTTATCTTTCTAAAATACAGAAATTGCCTACTAAAAATCCCATTTCTACTTTGAATGAAAGCCATTCAGTACAGTATAATTTTGCAGGCTAATGAGCCGGTTTTACAGGCAAGTGTTTCGTGTAATATGTTATGGGAGAAATGAAAATGTCCTTGAAGTGACATCATTTAAAATTGACTGTCACAAATGGGGGGGGGGGGAAGTCACATATTCCACAACAAGATTTTAGTCCAAACTTCATTTCCAAGAACGGCTGTGTTTTATTAATTTGCAGTTGGATTATGAATCACCAAGGATTCTAAAAGGCTAGAATGAACCCTCATTTCTCTATTTGAAGAAAAATAAAAATAAGTTTCCCCCCCAAAAAAACACGTTTTACTTTTCATTGGAATAAGGTTAATTGCCGTAAAAATGCGAAGAAGGGAGCACAAAAAGGATTCTGCTTTCTTTCTGACTCCTGGTTTCTCTCGACACAAAGTTACATGTTTACATTTAGGGGGGGAAAAGTACCTCCCTTCAAGTAGTTTCTGAAACTTCCACCAATAGCCTTGAAAAGGAACAGAAAGAAACCCCCCACATCCCCCCCCAGAACCCCCAGGAACTGCGGCTGGACTCATCTCGAGTGCTTTCCTCATGGTTAACACTTTTGTTTCCACAAGGAAAGAGAAGGAGGAAGGAGAATCTTTTAAAATAGTTTTTCCTGCTGTTCTTCCTATTAAACTAAAGGGGTAGAGGCTTTGGCACAGGCCCTCCGCGGTTTTTCTGTTATTCTGAAGCCTTTTGTTGACTGGCTGTCTCTGATGTTTTCTGGTTGTGCTGGGCTCTGACATCATTGCAAGTTACTTGGCAGTCATGGCCCTTCCCCAGCCAACTTTTGACCCAGAAAACTGAGCCTGTGTCGCTAGCATCCAAGCATTTGGTACTTATTCCTTCAAGGGAGCAAGCCCCCTGCAGGCAAAGGACAAGGCAAAGCAGGAAGAGGCTGCAAGGGGATGCCCACTGGCTTGATTAGGAATCAGATTACCCACCTGGAGACAGGATGCATATAAATTGTCCTGTGTCTGCAGCAGTAGGAAAGGAAAACAAATTCAATTCTCTAGTTTCCGGAATTCTTTGCTTAAATTACACAACAGCCAACTTCATGGAGCACCGCCCCCAGTGTGCAGTTTGCCCTATACTAGACTGAGTTCTTAAATCTAAGCATAAAACACTAGTAGGCTGCTGAAGAATATGCTGATAGATCATTTTGAGCTAGGAATTAGACAGGTTTTAAGTGTAAACGTCAGTCTAGAACTGAGAGCCAATCCCAATATTTGGTCTGCTGGGAGAAGAGAGGTAGGAAAGAGGGCAATCCACTGACATCCAAAGCAAGGATTCTTTTTTTGGTCAAGATCAAATGATGTTATTAAAGATTCATCATTTTCCCTGCTCCTGGATCTTGACAGTAGGGAACATGACTCTTTATTCAAGTGGAAAGAAGTCTAAGGAAATTGCTCACTAGTCACACATATTCCACTTCTACAATTTAGCAGCATTTGGTCCTATAGCGCATAATGCACATTTTTAACTCTTGTTTACTTCTCCAGCCCAAGCCCTTTCTCCTCTCTACCTCATGACAGCTGGCCGGGCTGCTGGCAGATCCCCACAGTACCACATTGTTTCAGCTCTCCACATGTCTCTCTGTTCCCCCCAATAATTTCAAGGATTCCTGGCTCTTTGGAAATAGTTGTGTTGAGGTGTCAAAATTTCCTTCATCCTCCCCCAACCCCCCCAACTCCCAGAAAGAGTCTCTCTTGTGTACTACGTAGCAAATTCATATACGGAATTTACGGGTTGAAGTGAGATAATCTGCTTATGTTGTCTTTCCTCATTGGATGCTTTTTTATGAGGATGGATTTAGTATACGTGGGCATTCCTAATGTACAGCATAAAGAAATAAAGTTCATAAACAGTAAATAAATGAACACTTGTTAGGAAGATTTGGTAATGGAGCCAACTACACTCTTATGTGCTGAATGCACAAATACAGTAACCTCTGGATATTATGTCTCTCTAGAGCAGTGCTCTACTCACCCTTGTGCCTCAGGGGTCAGCATGTTGTTGTTAGCATGGCAGAAATTGTGAAAATGACATAGGATCTAACAAGGTTTCTTCTTGTTGTTCATAGGGTCACTATGAATCGTAGCCAACTCAATGACATCTAACAACAATGATACTGTCAAGCTGGCCCTGGATTTGTGCCAGGTGGTGACTTCCATGTAAAAGAGAATAATATGCTACCAGGTGCTACACCATCTCCATGATCCCATGATTGGTGAAGGAGGAGACTACTGTGGTCCACAGTGTTATTTTTCAAAAGTAGATTGCCAGGAATTTCTTCCTAGATATTTTGGAAAATTTGCTGAAATGTGTTCAGCATCATAGCAACGTAGTAGCTCCTGTTGACAGATAGATGGTTGCTGTGCCTGATGTCCTTTGCTGGGAATAGAACCTGGGTCTCTCACATGGAAAGTGAGAATTTTACTACTACTAAACCACTGTTGCTCCCAGGCTTAGCATAATACCTCACATAGTAATACTGAGTGAATGAATGGATAGATGGATGGATGGAGAGAGCTATTTTTATTTTCTGAAAAAGACTTTTCTAGGAATGAAATATGCTTTTGCATTTACCATCAACTTAATTTAGTTTTAGGAATACAAATAATCTGAAAATGATAGAAAATTTGTATGTGTGTGTGTGTATGTATAATAGTCAATCTAATGTTGTCATGTCTCAGAAACACAACTCCTTAATTACTTAGGTTATTAAACAAAGTATTTCATATGTGCCAGATTCTATTCTAAGCACTTTATAAATATTAATCCATAACAGTCTGTGAGGTAAGTGCTATTATTAACCGCATAGTGTAAATGAGGTAAGGGAGCCCTAGCCGTGGAAAGTCGCATTGCTGACCCATAGCCTGGCACCTTTGTGGTGGTTCAAATCTACCAACAGCTCCACTGGAGAAAGATGGGCAGTCTCTTCCCATATGATTTACTTTCTCAGAAAAACTGTTGGGGCAGTTTTCCCTGGTCTGTCTCTTTTCAGATGAAGGAATCCCGCCAGGGAGCTCCCTTAATAAAGCTGCTTTAAGCTTTCCAAAAAATCCCCGTTGGAGGGTCAGCTATGAGATGGTTCTAGCTGGCCAGCAATGAATTTGGGTTATAAATGAAATAACTGAGGGTGAGCGGGTAATAGTAGCTTGCCCAAAATCAATACAAGCACTATCAGTGATCAATCACTTCTAACTTTAGTCGGAATGATTGTTAATAGTATGACTGTCGTTAAAACATCTGTGAAGGGGTAACTTTTGGAATATATTCCTATTAGCTGTAA